TCAACATCACCTGATAAAGTTTTCATTTCGATTTATTTTCAAAACACCTTGAAATTGAGACTGAGGATTCAAAAAAAAGACTTGGACTCTCTGACTTACTATGTATGTTGCCTTTCATTTTTAGTAACTGCATAAAACAAAGAACTTAACTCGCGGCTTAAACGGCTTTTATATATTATTTCCTCTTTTTGTTTTTGGTTGTAATGGCTCGGTGGTTGGTAGAAAAATCCTGTGGTTGTTTTCTCGACGAATACTGAGAAAGAGAATTAACCGAAATCTCTAACTGAGAAAAAAAACACACAGGTACTGCGTCTCCTTGTGCTTTCTTGGTTCAGCCGTACCTTCCTATGCCACTCTAAGCGTATGATCTACTACCTAGAGCCAAATGATTTATCATTGAATTGCTTTTGTTTTGGGGATGAGTTAACTGAATTAAAAATCACTTTAAACAGTCGATTCTTTTCATACATGTTTTAGATTCTTCTAGTCCTTTGTTTTGCCCTGGTTACACTATCACCATGAAGACCGCCTTTTCGTTTATGATGCTGACAATTATGGCAATTATGATGACGTCAGTAATGTCACGTGGCGTTTCATCCCGTCGTGCCTATAGAGGTAAGTTACTCTTGCACTCTATTGTTCAAAGCGCTCAGAATTGTACTATATGTTAATGCCCTTATGGCATTTGAAAATAAAACTGTTTCTTACTAATATTACGACTTCATTAATCTGATAAAGACTTAAAATAAATAATACCCCTGGAACAAGCTTTCAGCTATAAACGACACTTAGCAACTATTGCTTGCATCTTCCAAATATGGCAAGTGCCGGCTGGTTATGGAGAATTAGCTGGGGGACTGGAGCCAATCAGAAACGGCGAAATATTTGAAAGAAATTATAACTTTAATCATCAGCTTTTTTCCTTGGGCTTTTTTTAAAATTCTCCTTTCGTTTTCTTTTCTCTCTTTCTGGGAGTGTTCATGGTTTGTTACATACAAGTCAATGTGAAGTTTGTTATTTATTTCTAGCAGGATTTTTGAAAACGTTACAACCAAAATTGCGGCTCTTCCGTCCAAAGTAACCAAAACTAAAACACTAAGATTACAATCATTGCTTTTTTTCTCTTCTCCTCTCTTTTTTCTCCACGCTCCCTTTATCCAACATTTGACAAATTGAACGACATAGAATATGGTGGATGAATTTGAAAAAGCGTGAATTCACTTTTTACGAGACGTTTTCGCCAAAGTCGTCGTCTTTGTTGCGTAAACTCCTTTGAAAAAAAAAAAAAACGATTCCGTTAAATCAAATACAGTCCCATGGTTGTATTCGAACAGAACCAAACCAGTTTCTTGAACAACCTCACCAAAACGGCCACTCAAGGCTGCTAGCACCAGGCCCTTAGGATTGTATCGCGAGCAGATAGCTCCCTTCTGGGCTCGTTCGCTCTCATCAGTACCGCAAAGACTAGACTCGACTTCTTGCAGTCTGTCTTGACGAATTACCTCGCTTACTTACTTCTCCATTTTACAATTTCAGAGCTTCGTGCAAGATATTTCAGAACAAACCGGGCTGAGTTTGACAGACCCGCCTACATGAATGAACCAGCCGTAGAATGCGGAAAGTGCTTTCCACAATGCTATGAGGTAGGGGACAACGGAGACCAGATAAACACGTGTGCGTCAGAATGCCACTGTGCAAAGAAACGAAGTGTGGACGTTTACTTTGACGAACCTTTTATGGACGCTAAGGATCCAGAATTTTGTGGAAAATGCTTTCCTCCTCCTAGCGGATGTTATCGGGATGGTGACAACACAGACCAGATAACCACCTGTCTTGATGAATGCAAGTGTGTTTAGTTCACCTAAGCCTAGCGCTCAGTGTCAGGCCAGTTATTTTGTGACGGATGGTACCGAAAAGAAGAAAAAAAACTGCATTCAGTAGTCTTAAAAATTATTATTTGTTTCTGATAATTAATCTGTGCTAACATTTAGATTAGGTATAAAGTGGTTCAAAGAATTCATGATGTGAACATGTGAAAGCAGTGAAATCCGCTTGGCAGCCTTTTAAGTGAATTCTTGTTACGTTTCCTGACATGTCGTCACATTCTAGAACAGAAAATACAAACGCATCCACCCTATTAAGCTTAGGACGACCTCCTTTCTAATTTTCCGTATTGCCATCTCCGTAGGGCCCTTTCTCTGAACAGAGCTTGGGATGTTTGAATTTTTTAAAAAGCTTTTGGGTTGAACCAAATTAAAAAGGCGATCGGGAAGGCTGTCACGTAGGTAAAGAAGATGACTTTGTCGTTTTCATCGGAAGGCGATACGGAAATTTTAGGAACGGAAAATCAGGTGCACGCAAGAACGCGACTGAAGGTACTGGGCAACGACTTGCTGTGATCAGGCTTTCATTGCGGAAGTGAAAAGTCACTTGTTTCAGACAATTGTATCTTTTATACGCTAAATATGACATGTATGTAGGTGTGGCGCCAATCAGCGAAGCTTTGTTTTGAAAAATTGGGCAGATTTAAACCGCTATAGTCTGAAATGGGGCAAGAATTGTGTCCTATGTCTAGAAATGAGATGCGGATTTTGGAGCAATCTCTAGAAGATTCAAGGTAGAGAGGGAAGGAGGAAACCAATAAGGCTTATCCATATTGGAACTATTTGGGTGACGTATAACCACTCAAGTCAGCATCAGGAACGTACTCGTTTAAACCTTAGACTATGTAGAATTAATTGGTTCAGAATGGTTTAATTTAGATTTTTTTTTAAGACAATTAAAACCAGCACATATCTCTATCATGTTTGCTGTGAAAAAATTTTGTTGCAAGGCTAATTTTGCTTTCATCAAAATATTAATTTGAAAAGTTTTATCTTTTTGTTTTGTGATACCAGTATATTGTACACGTATATTTACATTTAACGCATGTAAACTGCGATCAAGGAGCTTTGCAGTCATCCATTTCGAAGTGCTGAAACGCAGTGAACTTGCTGCAACCCGTTTTCAACAATATTAAAAAGTGCAGCAACATTTTGAATTTATTGACTCTTGTATTGTAACACTTCTAATCGATTGTATTCCTTTCTCTGGTAAGCCTAAACTTGCACTGGCTATATTCACTGACTATGAATCACTTGATAGCGGACATTCTTACGGCCATCCATGTCATGGACAACTGACAGCTGTCAGAAAGGGTATCCACTGACCAGTCACCTGACTATATTGCGGGCTTAAGTGTACAACTCTTGGTGATGTGTTGTTTTAACGTTATCTTTTGGCTATAATGAAAAGGCCATATTATAAATAACTAGTTAACCTCGTCCGTTCCGTCTTTACAGGGAAAACTCAGTCTGAGATTTCACTCTCAGTTAATAAGTAGTATATAATGAATATATTCTGTAATACCTTGGTCCTTCTTCATATGCAGGTTCAGGTTCGCAAGGGTTAACTGGTATCTTGAAGTAGTAGTGAATGACTGCTGAATTCTCGTTTTGAATTACTAAAAGCACCTTGTATCAGATATAATAGGAATGTATGGCCCGTCCCAGAAGATTCGTGCATCTCTATGATTGCTCATTAAGCTTGTAGCGCGAGGATGTTTTGCACTAGGACATAGCACTTATGCTTTAATTTCCATCACAAGTGAATTACCAAAAAATCGTGAGCAAAGCGAAAAATCGTCGAGCTTGCGATTTTCGTAAGTTTCGCAAATTTGGAAAAATCCGCAACTGACTTGCGACTTGATCGTTAACATGACAATGAACTGCGAAAAAGCGCCAAAATTTCGATTTTGGGGATTTTTCGCTAGTTCACGAAAAATGGCAAATTTTGCAGCTGCGTGCAAACCTGGACATAAGTGACTAAAATATATCTACAAATCGTATTTGGATCAGAAAGCTTATAATTCCCCCATTTCAGCCTTGCATTTTTTGTAATATATTTTCCAGCCTGATAAACCAGATGACGCACTAAGACGGGAAAAGAAAAAAGAGCGAGCGGGGAAATCTGCGGGAACGTTTCTTCCCTTCCAGTTCCCCGCTCTCCTTCCCGCTCCTAACTTGTGTATGTGTGTGTGGGCTCCTTTTTACCCCATGCCCTCGAGCGACTTGCGCGCTTTTCCCGCTTGATCCAAGGGAATGAAAACGACCACTTCGTAGGCTAGATAATAGGGAGCTTAAGCAACAACGTTTTTGAGCGACGCACGTCAACCGGAAGTGGCCTTTTTTCATTTTTTGACGGTGGTTTCGCGCAAATTTTCAGTCAAATCGCCTCTATAACAGTAAAGAAGCTAAGGAATACAAATTTTATATCATCAAGGCATGTTAAGAGGGAAAATACCTCACTTCCGGTTGACGTGCGTCGCTCAAAAACGTCGCTGCTTAAGCTCCCTAATACTGTGTTGTGATGTAACCGCTGCAAAGCTACGAACTATCGGTTTCCAGACATAGCGGGGTTTTTTGGTTTCCAAAAGCCCTTGTCTGTTTGCTTTTGTCTGTCCGGATTTTTAGTCATCCGTCTTAGCAAAAAAGAAGTAGCGTTGTAGGAGCGTTGAAAATAAAAGCCGGACAGTTTCAAGGGGGGCGCTTTCAGTTGTTCACTTTCTTGGTAGATTTCGAAAGTAAAGGAATGGGACATGCGCCTCCATCAATGGCAATTGTTTTTCTGGAAACTATTTTACGGCCTCAATTTTCTGAACTATAAAATAATAAAACCATTCAACCAAGAAACCGATTTACACCTATAGGGTAAGGCCCGGTGGGGACGCTCCTTACCCGAAATAGAATATCTCAGCACCTCTGCCCTTGGGTCCCGCTTTGATCTAAAATGACATGGGGTGAGTGCCAGGGCCTTTCCTTTTGATCCACCAATGAAACTGAAAAACTTATACACATATGTGATTAGGCACATTTCCCTAAATTAAAATTATCTTATTGCGTCTTGTCTTTTTGATCACATGATTCAGTTCAAAGCCTATTTATTCGTTGATGCTCCTTTCATATCTAAACATTAATTTGTGGCTAAAGGAAGAAGGTGTATGGAAAAGAAGAGAAGTCAAGAAGTTATTATTCACTGAGAATACAGGTAGGGCTGTCACAGTCTTAACGTGCAAATGAGTTATGGCGTTGAAATAATGGTATCACTGAAAACTATTATCGAGGACTTAATAAGTGTTCTTAATTGAAGACATAGTTACATACATAACTTCGTCGTCTTTAAACTCTCACCTTCGGTTCCCCCATCAGTATTTTTCACATGACTTGTTAATACTGAACTGATGTTTGTTTGTGGCATGTACTGTTTGAAAAACGAGCAGAAAGCCAAGAGTTTTTACACCTGATAATACACGACTGCGAGTTTTTTGAATGGCTTCAAAATCTCTGGTATAGATCAAGAGAGTGGAGTTCTCGATCGATACGATCGAGGATAAAAATGTCAAAAATTCACGATTGCTAACGTAATTCGTCACCCATGATATTAAAAGGTAATGCGTGAAAGGCTAGGGAAATTGTTAGGATTTGTACAAAACGCGCGTGAAATTATTCCCTAATTTCACTCGTCACCATTTGATTACACATACTAACATTACTTGATATCTCGGGAAATTTAGCCTGCATGGGAAGCTTTCGAAGGGGAAGGGGGCGCACCGCGCGCGACAACTTTTAGGCCGCTCGAGGAAGGGGGAAGGTTTCGCCTTTTGCCTTGCGTTCTCGTGCACCCGAATCTTCGCTTCTCCTTCAATAGCCTACAACGAAGATTACGGGGAATTGAGCACTGGTAGACCTAGTGAACCCGGTCCGTTAGTTTACTCACGTACGGTGTCGTAAGTTTTCTAAGACTTCAAGTTCCTTTTTGGTAAAATGTAACCAAATAACTCGTTGGTAGGTGCACATCTCTCCTATTCAACCTCGTTCCCAGGGAACCTCTCCCATTCGTTCTTATGGGAAGAGAATCCTGGGAAGGAGGTTGTCTCTGATCTTGAAATTAAAAGATGCGCGGCACCTATGCTTCAGTTTTTGACCACGTCTTCCTTGTCACGAATGTTGAATATACTTCTCGATATTTCTTTCCTTCCCCCTTTTCTCCCTTTTTTCATTTATTTATCCCTTCCTTCAGTAACAATAGCCACTATAATTATTCCCTTTAGAGAAATAAACAAGACATAAATCCTTCTTTAACCTCAAACATGGCCTTCACACAAGTGAATGTATCCAAGCAGCGACTCGTTTTGGTCCAGGGCAATAATTGTGCTAACCCACCTGAAGAATGCTCCCCCGCACACGACAAAATTCAAGATAAAAAATGTTCATCATTGAGGTGCTTCAGACGTCGAATGGTGTTCGGTGCAGGCAACACATCGTCCGTCTTTACTTCAACACGATGCGTGAAAAACGTTGTTGATGATACAACTGGCGGATTGGTTTCTTCAAAAGTTGCTGATATTCCATACGAAGCCAGAGTAGGCCCCGGCTACAGGGTTGGTGAAGTGTACCTGTCAGCGGAAAGTCGACAGGTCCCAGTAGTTGCACCAAAAGACCAGGCCAAGCGTATAGAGCACACGGCAGGGCGACAAGGCCGTATTTACCGGAGGGTTCTGCATTCCGGAGCTGAATATGAAGTCAATTCGGAGACAGTTAACGCTTACAGCTCACGATCAGCTAATAATTTCCAACGCTTTTTGTCGGGATATGTGAAATTTTAGTCTGGTAAAAAGGTTCGTATCAATTTTTTATTTTTGTCTTGAGCCTTGGAAAGTTTCTGTTGTATAAGAAAAATTGTCATTTTTGCTTTAAAAAATTATTTTCGAGTCCTTGATTCTGTAACTTATGATTTGTTATCAGTAATTTGTCTTGCGTTCCCTTTTTGTTGGAATAAACAATCATTTCAGATCAGTTTGTGCTTTAGACTTTAGTCCGGAGTGTAAAAAACGTTATCATTAATAGGCTAAGCTTGAAGAATAGTAAAAAGCAACTGATTTAACCTGAACACTAGCCTCGTTGAGCCGAGTGACTGGATTACGACTGATGCTTATTTTCGTCACCAAAAACGGGGGTGAGGGGTTGGAGAACAGGGGGCTCCAAACCGCTCCCCTCCCGTAAAACTTACATTCCAGATACCAATCGTCAGTGGATTCCAGATTCCTTGAGCTGTATTCCAGATTCCAAAGCCCTCGATTCTTGATTCTACAAGCAAAAATTTCGCGGATACTGGATTACGCAAGCAAAAAGTCTTGGATTCCGCAATCCGTATTCCCTTACTTGGGTCGAATAAGTTACTGTTTCTCAAATGCTCCTGAGAATATGCCTTCCGGCTCCCAAGAGCATTTGAAAATAAAGTCTTATGCAATATTTCTCTTTTTGGAGTGAATTGTGGCGGATTCGAACTGAATAAAGAATGGAAGTGGATCCTGCGAAGTCAAACGCGCGTTAAAGACCACCTTTGTACACCTAGTGACACGCGACAAATACCGACCTTTCACGACGTCTTCAGGGGATCTCATGCCTTTACCCCTCACCTTTAACGTGCGTCAAAGGTATTTTTTGATTAGCATTTGTGCCCCTATAAAAGGTGTCATCAAGTATGTCTGAGATTCGAGCCAAAGGTTTTGACAAAGGTGCAGTAAAATGATGTCTGAGATTCAAGTCAAAGGCTCGCTTGAAGTGTCGTTAAATGTGTCTGAGGCTCAGATCAAAGATGGGGCAAAGGAACCGTCCAACATGTCTGAGATTCAAGTCAAAAGTTTGACAAAGGTGTAGCCAAATACGTCCAGAGTGGTCAGATATCCGCGATATTCAAGTCAAAGGTCTCACAAAGGTGTTTTCAAATATATCTGTTGGTGGATTCATTTGCCACATATGCGTATAACCCTCGAATTTTGCCCGTTAGAGTTATTTTATAATTGTTTTTAAGCTTAAAAACAACAAACACGCAAACGGGCAAAGAACGACGGCAATAGACCCATGTGGCAAATTAATCCACCCTGTTATTTTAGTCAACTTCAGTTGAGATCTCGATACCATTTTTAAAGGTGGAAAGATAAGAGACTGACTGACGTACGTTAATGCTATATTATTATTACTGTCGATAAAACCATATGAGCATAGGGGACAAGTGCCGACTATAACTTTTATAAAAAGCTTAAAAATGGTTTAAAAAATCCCCGAAAAGAGTGTTTCAAACGATCATAATTACACACTAAAACAAAACAGTCAAGAGCTTTCAGAAACCGAAAAATTATAGAAGGACCCACCCTACTCACACCCGGCAAATTTATAGAATTAAAAAAGTTATGTTGGGAAACCGAAAGGTTCATAGTTTTGCAGGCGTTACATCACCGCAATACTACATAGTCAACTGTTTTAGCAGGCTGCCAAATAATCATCTTGCAATATGAAATACAGGATTGCAATGGGGGAAGCTTTTCTCCAAACACGGTTTTTACACCAAGCCTAAAAACGCGGCTGCTTTTCTTCAAAAAGGTAGCTATTTGTCGATCCAAAGTTCACGGCAGGCCGCAAATGTATTTTGGTTATTTTAATTTGTCCGTACGTATATACTTTCACTGCTGGTAAATTGACAACTATTAGCCTCAGTTTAGTACAATATGGAGGCTGTAACTAACAAGTAAATCAACAAATGATTATAACTGAAACAGCTACATCGTCATAGTATATTTCGATGCGACGGGCATGAGCACCTACTTGAAAAAGACCCTGCAATGCGGATTTCACCTCTTGAACATATCAGCATCATGTTTGCTCCGAACAAAATTTTAACGTAACTAAACGTTCGTTCAGTTCAATAAGCACTACATAGTAGTTATTTACTAAGATTAAATGCATTTTATCTCTCATCCCAGTACCACCACGGCCCAAATAGCTTGAGAGGAACTGGGTAATAAGCTCTAATTGAGCGAACTTTTTAACTTAAAATCCAAATAGAATTGAAAACTGATAAAAGCTTTCGACTTCAACTGAAGTCTTCTTCACATAAGCGCTGGCAGGTGTCGTGTCGTGCGCATAATGTGCTAAGATTATGTTGATAGGCCCTGGCCCAGCCCCCCTCCCGGTTCTGCATTTCAAGAAGAAGGTTGTCCCACACACTGGGGCACTGGGGAGGTTGTACCGTCCCCCATCTCTTTTCAGAGTCGGACCCTTGGGCCTGATATAGATGGCTTCCTTTACTCCTCGCTCAAACCCGAGGACGTTATGCGCGGGACACGACATCTGCCAGCGAAGAAGTTGAGGTCGAAAGCTTTCACTAGTTTTCAATTTTATCCGGAGTTTAAGTTCAAAATTTTGCTCATGGTTTAAATTTACTGGATAGATGAAATACACAGGTCTAATTGAGATTAAATGCACTTGCATTCATCAAGACAGATGGCTATCTGTTCAGGGTTGTCCCGGTCTACCTCCGGCCAATAACATCCGTCGGGAGCCGGGAAGCATCCTCCACAATATTCTAGATCCTTGAGACCCGTGCTGACCTTTATTCTCACACTTGCATTTCTCCGCGCAGAAACTAATCAGGAAACCAGTGACTCTTTTAAAGGAATCATAGCAATCTGCAAAGCATCCTTTACAAGTCTCCTCCTCCCAGTCATTCATTTGGGCAAGTCTCTCAAAATCTTCCTCCCTATCGTCCATGGAAGCTTTGTCAAAGTAAACGTCTAGCCCTCGCTTCTCTGGACAGCTGCATTCTTGCTTGCACAGCTTAACGTGGTCACCTTCTACCTCATCTCTCGCTAAGGCCTTTAAGCAACCTGGATAACATTCTTCGCAAGATACCTCTTCCCAGCGAGCGGGTCTGTCAAAGTTAGACTTTGCTTTAAAATTTCTTGCACGAAGCTCTGAAATGTAAAATTAAAATTATTGAAATAGATGTGACAAAGCTTAAAAAATTCATTAACTATACATTAAAGCTATGACAGTATTTGAGACACATGTAAATCGCTGTAAACCCTATTACAAGCTATTACTGAACAGCTCGTCTGAAGTAACAAATGTTCAGCTAATTAGCCGGTCTAACTGACTTTTGATATAAATATAAAGTAGGATAAAATATTCGCGCGTCCGAGCTGTATGGGTGTTTGCAATGTCTCGCCTGTGGTGGCTTGCCATTTTAAACGCATTATGGTCGTGTACTATAGTACTTAGTTTAAAGGTGCGGCCCATCCAAGACAGACTTCGTGGATTTGAACATTTCTTACTGAGATCTATTTCCCACCTAGACAAAGCTAAACAAAAATGTTGTGTCACTAAACGCCTTCCGTCTCACTCTTTTTGAAAACCCCAGTTTCTTGAACCCTCACGTGTGAATGATGCTCAGAAAGTATGCGCGATAACAAGAAATAACGACCATAATAACCATAATACCCAATACCGTCCCATGAGCCTTTGGTACCCTTGTCCATGGGAGGGGTAACGGTTAGTGATCCTTGGTGCTGACCAGCGCAGCCTCTCAGGAAACGAGATTGTCCTACTGACGGGTGTAGGGGAAATCATTTTTAAATGAAACAAATCCCCCAGTTACACCAAGGGTCAATCAATTTACTATCTGCAGGGACAGCAAAGGGGAAAATACCCAGAACAACAAACCCACCCTCACCCCTTCCCCAGAAAGGATTTTAAAAACACAAGTAAATTGAACTATAAACTATGAACTGTAAACCGATTGCTCCCAGGGTATTTTTGTTGATGAAGTCGTAGATCGTGTAACCAGTAAACAATTAGAGTTTTGAAAATGGAGCAGAAGAGTAACTCACCTCTATAGGAACGATGGGACGACATGTCACGTGACGTGACCGACGAAATCATAACGACCATAATTGCAAGCATGGTAAGCGGAAATACGGACTTCATGATGATACTTTGATCGGCGTTGATCAGACAAAAAGGATCTGCAATGTGCATGAAAGGAATCAACCGTTTCATTTAGTCTCTTATCTTTGAAGTGGTTTTTGTTTCAACTGAATTTCGGAAAAGCAAAACCAGTTTAATGAAAAATAATTTTGTTCCGGTCGATCTGCACAGAGAGGGGCGTAGAAAGGCACATAAACCAAGAACGTACATAGATCCGAGCTATAGATTGAAACAGGTGTCGTCATTTTTAATTTTTTAGTTGTTTTTTTAAATCATATAATCTTATTTAAAAAAAGCCACGGGATATTTTTCTGCCAATCACTAACTATTCAAAGTAAATCAATGTGAGGAAATCTCATTTAATAAGCTACTTTAACGAGAGTTATATTTAGTTCTTTCTTTACTAGTAACTAAAAAGTATAGCCAAGATGTAATGAGCCTGTTTAAGTTGTTTTTTCAATTTGCGATTTCAAATTTGAAATTTTTTTTTAAATAATGAATATGTAAACCTTTATTTAGGTGATGTTGCCCGACAAATAAATCAAAAGCTTAGAAAACGATCATCCAATTATTTTTATATTTAGCGGCTAACACAACGGATACACCATGCACGGATAGTTTTAGAGAGAAAGAAGGCCCTTCTCTGGAGAATTTTGAATTGAACACCAAAAAAATAAGAAAGATAAGAAAGATACTGAACAACACATCAAAGGCAGATAAGATGCACTCTGTCGCTCGAATGCGGCAAAACGGGTACATTAAAATTTCCCGCCAAGTTGAATAACGATAATTTATCTCATACAGACTTAAAAGTTCTTAAATGCTGTCAAACTTGTGATAATAAAAATATTGGAAGAATCTTAATAATAACTCGAAGTTCGATTATGCCTCCAAATCGTATCGCTGCTTCAAAAAGCTCTTGCCAATTTTTCACACCGAAGTAATTGTAACAGTTTCTAAGCTTTGTTGGCGGCTTATTCACATGACCGCGAGAAATAGCAAATTTAATAGTTATTATGATTTATTGTGCGCAATTCTGACTTTATTTTCAATCAAGTTATGATGGCCTAACTGAATAAAATTTTATTTTGAAAATAAATTATGGCCATAATTGAATTTTATCCGGCACAATGCTCTTTGAACTTTTAACATACTTACATATAACTTATCAGTGATCAACAAAAATACTGGCACACATTAATACAGAAAATTAATCGCCGGCTCCAAGTTAATAAACTTTATTCGCTTTTACTCATGTTCTTGTGTAAAACTAGAGAAAGAGGGAAAAAGTTTGCGCGGGCGGCTCTAAGCTTAGCGCGCGCACGCTTTTTTAACGACAACAAGCACGTTTTCCACCATAACTTAAAATAAATTCAAAACGGATACGTACTGATAGGAAAGACTGACAACCTTGAACATTACATCATTAATTTAGGAGCACTCAATACCGAGTGCAATAATCATGTCTTTGTCGAGTCAAAATCGTTATTAGCAAAGATAAAAGACTTACCTCTAGGGGCCTAGTTGATGTTTCCAACAAAAGCTCAAATGGCGAACTGATTTGATAGTGTGAGCTCTAACTTTTAACTGCACGATTAAACAAAGGCTCTTGACAAAGGGGTATATACTGTCAAGCTGATTAATTGCTTCGACTGTTTTGAATGTTGATTAATTGCTTCCACCATTTAGACAGGTTGAGTTTATTATACCAAGACAATGGAATTGTGTTTATTTTGCTAAAATATTTAAAAAATTCAACGCCAAATAAAGTATTATCTGTAACTCATTTTTTATGCCCCTTGAACCGAAGCCTGCACTCGCGACATTTGTCGTTCACTTGCTTTTTGCCCGCCAAATAAAATTATATACGTCTCAAGGGGCAGACTGTATGAAGAACTTACTGATAGGAAACTCACTGTATCATACCTTTTTAATGGCCTTTGTGGTGATGATCCGTGTACAAGAATTCTAAGGGTCTGTTAACATGGAGGTGGGGGACCCCAGGTAGTTGAGGTAACCGACTTAGGTGGGGTTAAATATTAAACCTCCTTTACATGCAATCTTACAACCCCGCCATCCCCTTTGCACTTTCTCAAGAATTATTGAATTGCTCGCTAAGCACTTAAACAATAAAAATACTGGCAAACCACGCGTTTTGGCGATTAATGCTCTTCTACACTCACTTCTTACCTTTAATAATGATAGAAAGCCGCCGCCAAAGTGAATTTTGTGAGAATTTGGTGGATCACGAATCCGACCCCAGCTAGGCGGGTTACCCCACCTTGAAACGTTTACATGGCAAAATTTGACCCCGGCTAGGAGGGTTACCCAGTCTGGCAGACCGAGCTACCCTCCTTGGCGGGTCACCCCACTTATCATGTAAACGCAATCAAATTAAAATGAGAGGTTATATGGACAGGCGGGTTACGCCAGCTAAGCGGATTACCTCACTTACCTGGGGTCCCCCACCTCCATGTATTAACAGGCCCTAACTAACAAACTTGTACTGTTACAATTTACATTTTTTTCTTTTGTAATATCACGTACTGTAACGCATATTTATCTAATTAAACCGCTAACTCTTGCTTAACGAGCTCTAACTATAACTTTAGCTCTAACACCAAACTTTAAACCTGTTCAAACGATATTGTTGGATATGATCGACTTTATCACTGAAGCTTATTTATAACCACCAATAAAGCATATGATAATTTGTTGTTTTTGATAGTTTTTTTGACAGGTTCAATGTCGTTCAAGCGAGTTCATTGTCCAAAGACAATAGAGTAGTGATGTCTTTTTTTAAAAAAAAAATGAAAAACATTCAGCTGAAAATCATAACAATTAATTTGTATGTGGCCACTGACCCGATACCTACGCGTGCGTGCGGCGTATGTCGCTTCACTAGCTTTTTGTTCCGCCAAAAAAATTATAAAAATTATGCATTTCTAGCCTTAGAAAAAACCGCGGAGACCCCCGCTATCGTATGTATTTCAGGGTCTTTGTGGCTCTTTGTGAGTTTCTAGAGGCTAAACGGCAATGTAACATAACAAAAAATGCTAAACATTGCTCTGTCAAAGCCTAGCTCCGGGTTGTACAGTCTGTGATCCATGACCAAATGTTTTTTTGAAGCCAGTTTTATTTCTTTCTTTATTTTATTTATTCATTTACTTTTATGCATATCTATAGCATTGTTAAATCGAGTTACTAGACCTCAATGGCCAATTAAGTCTATACTAATTTATATTTGTTGGTTTTAATTTAAATGAAGATCAAAGTAAAGGTGAGGGATGACGTTATTTCAAAAGAAAGATGCCAAATTCTTTCTGTTTGAACTATTTTATCTTATTTAGTAGATTTATTATCATTATTTGATTTGATCATGTCAGTTTTCTTCTTGTTGTTTGGTCTAGCAGTGCATCCGGCCAACTTTTTGTTCTTCATCTCAGTTTCTTATAACGACGCTTCTCACTTGAGCACAGATTGATAAATTCAATCTTCTTCACCCCTTATTTTGGTGTCTGACTCTTTACATCTCATGGCCAGTATGGGGAATTGACAGAGGGACCTGCATAAAGCGGGCCCACGTTTTCGCATGTTCTATATAACAAACCAAAGAAGTCTACGGAGTGTCCTGCTTAACAGAGATTGTTGCTTGGTTTGGCAGAATTAGCTCAGTCGGTAGAGCGCTTGACTGCAGAGCGGGAGGTCGCGGGTTCGATTCCCGGGGTCGGACCAATACTCAGGGTCTTAAAATTACTGAGAAGTGAAGGTACTCCCTTTGCATTGCAACAGCCTGGACCTCTTGCGTGGCTCGGATGACCACGTAAAATAGCCGTCCCGTCTCCAGTTGGAGACGTTAATATAGTGTCCCCAAATAGCACTTTCGTGCTAAATACATTGACACTCAAATAAAGTCCTTTTTTACAAGAGTGCTTAAGAGTAAAATATGTAGGATGCAAAAGGTTAAAAAGTTTTTAATAGTAATTTACCGCACCTCAGATCTTCAGCTCTCATTATAATCAACGCCATTAAAACTAGGGGTACCTTCCGGCAAGTGCCAACGAGGCGAATTCGTTTATCTTTTGTAGAATGTGCCTATTCAGATCTTCGCGATATTTTTTTCATAATTTTAGTGGTTTAAAATGGATTCCACGAAAGAAAAGGATGGCACCCAAGTTCAAAACAACAACTTTGGCACATTTAAGGCTTTCACTTAAATATGAGCAAGTTAGCACTTATGTTTCTGGGAAAATTCCATTGTAGAAAAACTGTAAACGTTAGAAAGAAAAATATAGTTTAAATGAGGTCTTTGAACGCTAAAATTAAAAATAATAATTAAATTCCGAGCAACAGGGATAAGAAAAATATTTCGCGTGGTAATATACACCAGAAAAAAATTGGTGTAAAGTAAAATGTGTGAGAAGCCCAAGAATGGGGCGGAATGTATCAGAGGTATAAAAATATAAACCTGAATAAAATACAGAGATCTAATGAGCGAGTGTCACAGGACAAAGAGTCTGTTGAAAGGCATAATGATAGGCTTCAAAACAAAAGGTCCGCAAATTCGTTGCATTCCCCAGCGGCGGGAGTTTTGGGCTGTCTCAATGTAAACCGAGCGGCAAAAAAACCATGCTGGTTGACAAAATATCTCGAAAGACATTTAAAAGATAAAATTTTTGAGAATATAACCCTATGCCTTGATCAACAACCCCTTAAAATTCAATTCACAAAGGAAAAAAGGACACTGAAAACCCTGGTGCTGAGTCCTGAAGCGTACAGCTACCTCAATCGAGCTGGAAAAAACAAGCTGGTTCTGACAAAAATTTGAGCGTAAAACCCTATCCCTTGATCAGCTGCTGCTTTAAACGCAATTTATAAAGCAAACCAGAGCACTAATTGCCTAGAAATCGTATTAAAGCTTGCTCACCTGTTAGGTCCTCTTAAACAGACAACGAACAGCTGCACACTGATACACCCAATTTCGGACGACGAGTTGTAAA